CTTTGATATGCCAATCAGTGAGATCCTTAGAGGGGGTCAAAACCTGGGTATGTTGGGACAGTCCGAGAATTCATTTGAGTGGGTGATCATAGTGATAGGATCAGCCCCTTTGTTGAACAAAGTGAATGATCGGGGGTGCATTCTCTTTGATGGAAACCTAAACTGCTGGCAATTGATTTCAAACGTTGAAATTTGTTTTCGCAAAATATATTTATATAGAGATATATACATATATATATTATGATTTCAAAACGTTTGCAAAGGTTCTAATTCCCGGGATCCATGTGAGTAAAGAGTGCAACACTGTTCCTTGCAGCCGAGGGAGAGGTCATCTCTTGTCGGGTAGTGTTTGATCATTATGGGCTAAGAGGTTAAGTGTAAGACCATTGAGGTTAATACCTGATGGGCTAATCTTGCATCTGCCCACAGTCCTTGGGTTTTCATAAGGTGGCTAGACCCAATGACCATTTAGTGTAAATGTTGGACCCATTAAGAACCCAAGGTGATGGACTCAGGGGTTCACTATCTCCTACAATGAATTCGGCCAGCCCTTCTAACAAAGGCTGGCTCAACCCATGTAGCTGATGTGTAGATCGATGTGAGGGTCCCATGCCATACAAAGAGAGCCAACTAGGCAGCAGGTTAAGAGGTAAGTGAGCACATAAGCTTAATGGGCCTAAAGCCCAATTCGAACTGGGCTTAAATTAGTTAATTAAAAGGAGGCAAGATATGATTTATAATCTAATTAGGATTAGCTGAAATGATAAGATAAGTCTTATCCATTTAAGTGTCCGAATCCAAATATCAGATTTGGATCAAAAAACTCTCTCCTAAATAGATTAGGAGGCTGATCCAAAGAAGACTATAAATAGGGGGCGAATTCCTTAATTTTACACACAAAAATTTGCAGAATTCTCCCCTTGTTCTTGTTATCCCTACCCAGTTTGATCTCCACCTGTGGAACTGATCAAGAAGAGTTCTTGATATTGTTTCTTGGTTGAAGAAACGATATGAGGTCGTGCTCACCAACCCTTTACTCCGTTCTTGCTGAAAAATTCGGTTCTTAATGAAGAGTCGTCCCATTGATTATGCTTCACTATGCACTATGTCGTCTTCAGTGGAAGCGGGTTTTGGTTTTCTCCTTCGACGTGAACACCTTCATTGGGAGTTATTGCTACTTCATATTAGGTATATCCCTCTCCTCCCTTTGGTTTCAGATCTGGTCCGGTTTTGTTTCAAGAATGATCCTTGAAAATGCAGTTTTCTAAAATAGAGAATGCGGTTCTCAGATGGGAGAGAAAGAAATTTTTGAAATTTCGCCCAACCTTCTTGCAGGGTTCGACCATCCATATGATGGATCTCTCATCCCCTCAAAATTCTTAATTGAATAATTAAGAGAAAATTCAATATCCAAAAAAACTATTTTCCCCTAACTACTCTTTATATAGGCATACACCCTTATGGATCCTACAGAAAGTTTTCTAATCTATGAAAACACTCCGTAATAGAATCCTACTAAAACTTCTCAAAAAGAAAGTCTTACTTGAGCAATCATAATCTAAGAAAACACTCCATAATAGAATCCTACCAAAAATCCCCAAAAAAAAATTTAATTGAGCAATCATAATCTAAGGAAACACTTCATGATAGAATCCTAATAAAACTCTTCAAAAAGAAAGTCCTAATTGAATAAAAATTCGAAATCTTGCTATAACACTAACTTGGTAATTACGAACTAAGATAGAAACTCTGTAATGGCGTCAATTTGGTAAAAACGAACTAAGATAGAAATTATGTGGTAATGCCATATCGGTAAATATTTACTAGGTTGGGTCGGTGGCATCATATCTGCTTCTTATGTGTCTTGGAATGGTCCCAACTTGCATAGAACTTATTAGCTTCCTTCTGTACTGCATCATCCTCTCCCTATATGTATTAAGAGGGGTCTTCGAAAATCAACTTTGTAAATGTTTACTCAGTTGGTTCGAATCTCGTACTACATCGTCCTCCCTAGGTTGGAGAGAATCTGTTCTTGGATTCATGCTACCATGTGAGAGCCCTCCAATATTACGTACATTGCTTCATTTATGCTTCTTTATTTCCAACTTTCTAATAGATAGTTGGTGGTATAACCCTCCAATACGAATTGGAATGCTTTTATTACATTTCTTAACTTTTGAAACACAATTGTTGATTTTCAAATAATTTAGTTCTCCATTTACTGACCATTCTGAACTTTGCAAAAATGATTGTCAATATGGATCCTCATTGACTTGTATAAAGACAATGCTATCAAAGCCTTCAAAATGATAAATATTGTCTCCATCTTCTTGAAAATCATGATGAAGGATAGCATATTCTTCTTAAGCAATGGGTTCTTCTTCTTCATCATAGATTAGAGGTTTGTTCCAATCAACATGTTGTTCTTCAATAGATGTTAAGGAGAATGGTCACACAAGATTTTCGTAACAATCATCAACAATATTAAAACAATCAACAAAGTCATAAGATTTGATTTTACCTTCTGACTCTGAAACTGATAAGTCCTCGATAGAACTCCAATCCATGAATTCGTTTGAGAATATATCTCCATTAAACTTCAAGAACTCGAACTTGAGATCTGTTTCCCATTGCTTCTATTCATCACTTGCAACTACAGCCAGTTTGGTTTCTTGCCAAGTAGAAAACCCTCCATGAAACTTTGGGATCTCAATATTGAAACCTGTTTCCCACTATTTCTGGTCACCAACCGTAACTACAACTGACTTGGATGCTTTCCTTAATGATGAAAATGAACGAGCGAAAACACTTGCATTGGAGTCGCCGTCCCCTATTTCTGACTGGGAATGCAGCGATTTCACCTCCTAAGCAAGTGCCTCAACTTGTCTTCTCAGCTCCACTATCTCCTCTTGCATTTTGTTATTCAATTCCTACTCCATGATGTAAGCTACTGGTTTCTTCTTAGGAGCCATAATCCGAATAAGGATCAACTTGAGCTCTAATACCAATTGGTACAGTATGAAAACAAAACACGTTGAGAAAAAGCTTCAAAGAAAAAGCAGAAGTCGAACTACCAGGAAGAAGAATTCTTCACTAAATAATTAAAAGAAAATTTAATATCCAAAAAAACTGTCTTAGCCTTCTCCTAACTACTCTTTATATAGGCATACACCCTTATGGCTCCTACAAGAAAGTTTCTTAATCTATAAAAACACTCCATAATAGAATCCTACTAAAACTCCTCAAAAAGAAAGTCTATATCAATATATATTTACTAAGTTGGGTCGGTGTCATCATCTCTAATTCTTATGTGTCTTCGAATAGTCCCAACTTGCATAGAACTTATTAGCTTCCTTCTGTGTTGCACCATCCTCTCCCTATATGTACTAAGATGGGTCTTCGAAAACTAACTTTGTAAATGTTTACTCATTAGTCCGAATCTCGTACTGCATCAACGATTTAAGAGAACTCAGAATARTTACATATTGAAATGGTTGAATTATATGTAAAAGAAGTCAAACAATGATGCCCATTTTCAATCTTACGCTACCTAAATCATCATTGGAAAAGATATAAGTGAGGCACGTACTTGATGGGAACATCTTATGGTGCCAACTTCCACCACCAATTTGCCTCAAAGATGTTGCCTCCATGATAGCAGTCATGAGCCGGAGGATTACAAACTTGTTGGTAAAGGTAGAGCTATCATCCAGAAAACTCTTACCCTCTGCCTCACGTATTGGATGCCGTATTGGTAAAGGTGGAGCTATCATTACTGAGACGAGAAAACTCATTAGAGCAAATATATGCATACTTTTAAAGGAAAACCTTCCAACAGTTGCTTTATAGTGAAGAGCTTTACTTGGGCACGCAAAGTAGCATGAAGTTCACCAACATCGATGTTTCTAGTAAGAAAGGACAACAGAACCTGGAAAATCGACGAAGTCCCGTCTTCAATAGATTTCGAGTACACCTTGAATCCCATTCAAACACCACCACCACCACCACCAAAGCTCCAGAGGAATTTCCTTTTTTTTTTTTGTATTCTTTTTCTTCCCTGGGCTTTTCCTCTTTGAAACTTTCTCTGTTCGCAGCTTTCTCTGCAATGGCGTTGCAGGTGGAGGCCCAAAACAAAGATTGTTTGTATGTTAGGCCCTGCTTCAAGGTTGGTGCCTATGATCGAGAAGTTGCTGAGAGCAGGCATGAACGTTGCATGCTTCAACTTCTCTCATGATTCTCACGCTTACTACCAAAAAACCCTTGATAACCTCAGATCCACCATGGAGAATACTGTGCGATACTCTATAGTCTATCTCAATCAATCTCAAATTCATAATAAATTCTGTCTTACTGAGAAATCCTAGTGTAATTCTATTCAGCATCACCCTTATCGTAACAACCCATATAACAATCTTTATCTTAATTCGTTAGTAGGCCTTTACTGGTAATGACATACAAATCTGACAAAGGCCAGAGATACAACGTTTCATCTCACGAGATAGTTGTCATTTAGCATGAGGTGTGTAACAGCAATAAAGAGAGAAACAAGCAAAGCAACAACTCTGTGGGCCCGCCTGAGGCTAATCATGACGAAACTATTATGTGCTTGGAAAAAACATAGACCAAATAAATCAGTTTTCAAAGAAGGTCAGTTTTCGAGACACTCATTAAACCTACGTGCATGCATGAGCCGTCGACTAACGGCGAAATGGAAAAAAGAATTAAGACAACTTGTGCAAGAGAGAGGAGAGAGTTATTATTTATATGAGGAAAAGATGGGGACTTTGCCATCTCAGGCAAAATCTCGATACAGAAATTATCAAAACTGTATCTTTGATTCACATATGAAGACTGATATGGCAGAATCAAGCAAGGTGAAGAGATCTCTGGGGTCTCTCTTTCAACGCGAAGAAGTAGAAGCACAAGTTAATGGAAAATCTGAGCAACACCATTCCAAGGTGGCTAGGATGGTCAATCTGGATGAACTCAAATAAAAAACGATGGTTGATCCGCTTTGGGCTCTCTGTCTCTTTGCCAAAATCCTGGGTGAAGAGGAACCGCTTGCGACCATCATGGAAAGAGCAAGGGACTGGAGAGTGGATAATAAAATGGATATCAGGAAGATAGGTAATGGATTCTTCCTCATTTCATTTACTTCTGAGGAGGACTATGATAAGGGGTTGAAGAAGGGCCCGTGGATGGTAAATGGTAAATACTGGAAACCCTGGTTTAATCCTCTGAAGGCCAAACTTGAATCGGCTGATATCTGGATTAGACTTCCTGGGCTGCCTCTTGAATGTTGGAACAGAGATGACTTAGAGATAATCCTGGAGAAGCTGGGTCCTGTGATTAAATTGGATGATGATACTTTGAAGTTGGAAAAGACCTTGTACCCAATGGTCTGTGCCAGAGTTGATCTTACAGGCCCTTTCATTCTAGAAATTCCTGTCACCCAAGGTGGAATCCGAAGTCATATAAGAGTCTTCTACAAAAATATCTTCGACCTCTGCATCAACTATGGTTGGAGAGGCCATAAGTTCTATGAATGCTCAAAGAAAAGGAATGAGAGGATTGAGGATGGATGGTCTCTTGTCCAAAATAAGAAAAGATCCCAATCTCTTAGATCTAAGGATGACCTTAGGAAGATTGGGAGAACTGGCGACAAAAAAAAAAGGAAAGGTTTTGGAACAATAGTGTCGATCACTGGACTCAGGCTAAGATGGTTAGGGTGGGGATGGCGAAAGAGGTGTCAAAGATGAGATTCATTAATGCCAATTTTCAGGAGATGAAGAAAGACAAAGGGAAAAAAAGTTGCTCATGAACAAATCACAAGGAACGAAGGGGAATCTAGCATGGAGGAAGAAGAGGAGAAGGACAACGAGCAAACAAACATGAGGAGTGACAACCAACAAGATGATGAAATCGATTAGATGGATGATCAAGAAGGAGAGGAATGGATGAACATCAAAGACATCAATGCTAAAATAGCTAAAATTGAAGGGGACAATATGGGTCCAAGATTTGGTATACCATGCAGAGAACGTGAGGGGGCTGGAAGACCGTGCCTCCAAAGACAGGTTATGAGTCTCACCAAGACACACAACCTAGAGATTTGTTTTCTAATGGAAACTAGAGTGAATCCTGAGAGGGCAAGGAAATTTGCTAAATCCCTCTGTTTTGATAATTTTTTGGTGGTAGATTCAGTAGGCTTCTCTGGAGGTTTATGGATTTTGTGGAACAATTACGTGTGTAACCTCCATGCTTTATTTTCTAATGAAAGATTAGTTCATGTTTGCATTAATGAAAGTAACTCAAATGTTATGTGGTTCTATACCTTTGTATATGCTCCCCCTAGTAAAACTAAACAAAATCATGGATTCCTTAGAAAAAGCCCAAAAGAAATTAACTGAAAACAAGGATAGAGCTTATGTGAATCTGGAATCTTCTCTACAAAAACAACTTAATAATCTTCTCCTAAGGGAGGAGATCTACTGGGCTCAAAAGTCGAGGTCGAACTGGATTAACTTGGGGGATAGGAATAGCAAGTTTTTTCATTTATCATCCACGATGAAAAGGGCCAAAAACAGAATTACATTCATTAAGAATGAATTTGGGGAGAGATTGGAAGATCATATTAGCATTACTAATCATTTTGTTGAGGCTTTTGAGAAAAGATTTCATACTGAGGGGACTTATAGCATCGATGAATTTATTGGTGTCATTGATAAATGTGGTACCGTGGACCAAAATAAACATATAATAAGGGAAGTCTCAGATTTTTAGATTTTCAATGCCCTTCAATCTATTGAAGATTTAAAAGCCCCCGGACCTGATGGCCTGAATAAGCTTTTCTACAAGAAATTCTGGGGCACAATTATTTCTTTCTGTGAGGTTGTTAGAGCCTTCTTCCATTCTGGGAGGTTATGCCCCATTCTTAACAAAACTTTTGTTGTCCTCACTCCAAAATATGATAATCCAGAAACTGTTAACAACTAGAGACCTATGAGCTTGTGCAATGTAATTTACAAGGTCATCTCAATGATTTTGGTCAACAAAATTAAACCGTTTTAAAAGGCTTGATTTCCCCGTTTCAAAGTATATTTGTACCGAATAGCCAAATTAATGATAATATTTTGATTGCCCATGAAATGATTCATTCTATGAAAAAGAATAAAAAAGGAAAAAAAAAAAACAGAATTATGGCATGTAAAATTGATATGAAAAAAGCCTATGATAAATTTGAGTGGGATTTCATTGAGAAAGTTCTTAGGAAATTTGGGTTTCATGAGAAATGGATTGGATGGACCATGGAGTGTGTTAAAACAGTGTCTTTCCAGATTTTAATAAATTAAACTCCCACTAGAGAACTCCATCCTTCTAGGGGGATAAGGCAGGGAGACCCTCCTTCCCCATACTTACTTGTTTTGTGTGCAGAAGCTCTTTCTAGAAATCTGGTGAAAGAATCTGAAAGTCCTGAATACAAGATTGGATGCAAAGCTGCTAAAGAGTATCCCAAAATTCCTATTCTTCAATTTGTCGATGATTGTTTGATCTTTGTTGAACCAACTATTCTGGCCTATTGCAAAATCAAAGAAATTTTGGATAATTTTGCAAAAGCGTCTGGGCAAGCTCCTAATTTAAAAAAAAAAATCTACAATTATTTTTTCAAATAATTGCCCTTTTAGATTCCAAAATTCTGTCTAGGATCCTGAAAGAGTTAACTCAAGAGTTACTAAAAGTTCTTTTAATTATGTGCTTGAAAGAGTTAACAAAAAACTTGCAAGTTGGAAGAGAAACACTCTTTCCCTTGCAGGAAGAATAACTCTATTAAAATCAACTATCAATATGATGCCTCAGTTTATAATGAGATCTTTTAAATTGCCCATGAACACCATCAAGGATATTGACAAAGCCTAGAAGAAATTTCTGTGGACCAATTCGAATAATAGAAAGGCTTTACATCTGATGAATTGGAAAAAAGTATGCTTCCCTAAAAATTGATGGGGG